AAGTGCGATCGTCAACTGATTAACTGCACTTTTTGGACCAATAAATTACATCCGGTAACCAATAACTGAGCCATCAAAACAATTACCGCATCAACGACAAAAATGAGAATGCAATAATTCAATCTATCGTTCCGACAGAGGCATTTAGATAATGAAAGCAATGACTAAGTGATCCGAGTCAGAGTCACAATTAAGTTTCGAAATTGATGACTGTCGTTGCCATCGGAAAATATTGTCGATTTGATCGCAACGTATCTAATGGGAAGTCCAAAAAAAAAAGCATTCGGATATCACTAATATCGCGCATAATTGCTCAACAGTAAGCGATAATCCATTTGCGAGTAGCGAATTAAAATAACAAACCCGAATGCGTAAAGAATATCGAAGAGTTCTTCATCGAGAGTGATCTTTGATGATGTGCGTTCATTCAGTTGTATTTGATTGCCTGACGGTGATTCGACATCCGTTCTTGCGCTCAACCTGAATCAAATGAATTATTCTCAGTCCCTCATTTGTTGATACGAAATGGAATTTTTGATTTTTTAGAATTTATTGTGCCTTTGGGTTACTTCTTAAGAATTGGTTTAAATTTTCGACTGCCAAGTCAACAACTGGATCGTATCGATTGTGAATCAGAATGTTCTTTTGCATACATCGATACGTTCTGGATAAGTTAGTTGAATATATGTTTTCATATAAGAGTGCATGAAAAATGACACGACATAATTTTTGATTTGAAAAATCACGTCGATGAGACAGATTCATGCTTGGTATGAATGCAAATAATGAATTTTGATTATTGCTTTGCGTGAGAATTACATTCTCATAGGATAAAATTATTGAACGTCAATTGCACATTCAACTAATGCCACTCGTCTCTGGGGGATCGTGTCAGCCGAAAAAAAATGTCACAAGCTTCACTCAGTTCAAAAGGAGACATCTCAATTTTAAACGATGTGTATTCATATGCCTCATTTGTGCTGAATACGAACTTCAATGATAAATCATAAAATCAATGCCATAGTTCGACATTTTACGTAATTTTCGTGCGCACGATGAAATAGGCAATATCTAATATAAAAATCTATATCATGCTTGATCTACATACGCCTGTGCTTGTATAAACAAGCATGTATACATCCCTTTCAGAAAGACTGAACGATTCAGACCGTGAGATTCTTGCACAAATTATGTCTTAAATGAAGTCACCTCAAAGAGTCATAAAAAACGCCTGTCTCAATGCTATAATCTTGGAGGATTGATGAGAGTCGAAAACCGCTATTTTTGAAATCATAATAACAAATATTTAAATCTATCAATCAAGTCAAAATGCCATTCTTCAAAAAATATGTAAAAGAATGCGCTCGGTCATGATGAATAACGATTATAAATGCGCCGTAATCGCCCGTTTCAAAACGACACAACGACCGAATAATTCCGGTACCTGCTCTTTGAAGATTCGTGAGGAAACGGAAGATATAAAATCTACGATCAACGCGCAATTTTTATGACTATAATCTGGTTGGAAATATTTTCATTTACAATTGATAGCTGGAAGATCCTCAAGAGCATTGTTTATCGTACGAGACAACCAGACAACAATAACGAACCACGCTGATTTCATTACTAAACGATTTCTTTTTAAACCATCGAAACAGAAATGAATTTCAACTCGAGTTGTCTCCTAGAAATAATCTCCAGTTTATTTTATGCACGTCGAAGCAAACAAAATTTGTCACCAGCTGAAAGAATTTCAAAGAGTGAATTGAAAATAACACACTTACTTATCAAACATTACGGAATGTCGTCTGTATGATCGTTCAATCACGGATTGACCACAAACCAACGAGTTTCTATGGTATTGGCGAGAACGCCTCAATCCCGCCCATAATGGGTTTGTATTCTTTGCATTTTCCTCATCCATTCTCACGAAAAAACGAAGTGCACACAACTTATTTGAATTCACTGAAATGTGAAACGAATACCGCTGAGNGAGTTGTTCGGTAATTTTCGGAGTTGTTCGGTAATTTTCGGAGTTGTTTGATTGGACTCCGACCGAACAATTTTGAACTTTTACGGTCACGATACTCA